TTTTCAAAACCTATTCTTTTGGTTGGAAGGCAAGTAAGAAGAAGGACACTCTGACTTGCTAAGATATACTCAGAAAAGGAAATCCAGTCTATTCTAATGAACTAGCCCACACCAGTCTCCTATATGCATAACTCAGCCCATACTTAGAATTATCCCTGTTGGAGAAATTCCAAGTTGGAAACTGGATAATGGCAACACAGTTTTCAAGAGAGAAGTTTGACATTTTTTTCACAAGCTTTTACACAGTTTACGACATTTACAGGGGGGAACTCTCACAAAGCATTTTTTTCTTAAATGCTTATTTGCAAGGAGAGCATGTTGATTTCATAAATTCAAGTAAAGGATCATCAGTTTATTTGTAATCAGTTTACAATGGACAATCATGCCAGACTTGATCATTACAGACCAACTTTTTCTTTTTGAAAAAATTAGCAGCAAAATTTCACACACAATGTGTGGGAAAACACTGCACATAAATGTAAACATTGCAGTGTAAAATGAATTTAGGTCATTTCGATTTCTGACTGGTTTATAAAGTATTTTCTTTTGTTCCTTATACCTCATTTAACCATATTACAAACCAATTTCTAATTAGAAGTGCAACATAAATGGTGTAGTCTAAATTAATTTCAGGTTAAAACGATTTCAAACTGGATCGAACAGCACAATTCTTTGTTTAAGTATCATAGCAATGTAGCTTGGAACAGGGACAAAAACCATTTTTTTTTTATTCATTTGAACTATTAGTAGCATAAAGATAATTATTCAATATGTGAACAGCATGGCCTGAACACATTTCCAGCATGAGGACCAAACATAATTGCACAAGCAGAGATTTCATTGAAAGATAATTGGTTATATCAACTAAGTTGAAATAGTAAATTGGCCACCGTAACGAATAAAAAAGCTGACGTTTCGAGTGTTAGCCCTTTGTTGGAGCGAAGGGCTCTGACGAAGGGCTATCGCTCGAAACGTCACCTTTGAAACTTTTTTACGGCGACCAATTTACTTTGTCAACTCAGTTGATAAAACCAAAATGACCTTGTTACTCCTACTGACGCAGAACCACAGTTTCTTTAGAAACCTACCCTCTTCATTCATCCGTTTGGACGGTTCGTAAATCATAACCTCTCGGACGTCACATACCCTTTTATAAAATAACAGAAACACTAAGAGAACCTTGATTGGTCAAAAACCTTTCGTTTATTGCACTGGTAAACCCATAGAAAATTTAAACATATTCGGTGTCAGGAGCCCTCTTGGCCGTCAATTTTGTCGTAAGTGTATTTTATAAAAACAGTGGACCACACTTTCTATCGTTTTACCGGCGTAATAACCCACTTAGGATGTTGAGAGAACACAAGGAAAGTTCGTAAATCAATCGCCTCCAACTCGTGACCTGCAAACTTTTCTCGTGTCAGCCCACGACTTCCCGCGAGTTATTGCGCTGGTCACGTGATGCGTTTCGACTAACAAAATTTTGTCGTGTTCCCCTCGACTTCCCGAGCGTTATCGCGTTGGTCACGTGACGCGTTTGGACTTACAAACTTTTCAGTGCCGTGTTCTCCGAAAAACCCGCGAGGGTTATTACGTTGGCAAACCTAAACTAAGTGTAGTCTGTATTTATAAGGGTGTATTCCGCCAGGGGTTAAACGTGGGAAATCGTACTTTTAAATCTTCTAATTTTTCCGTCTCTCAAATGCAAGTTGGAAAAGTAGATTTAAATTTTCTTTGATTTATTATTGAAATGTCTGTGAATCTTGCCGTGAAAACAATTGCAAATTAGCAGAATTGCTAAGGAGACGAAACAATCCAGCCCAATCTTTTTTGACCTGGTACAATGAGAAGTCCCAACTATTATTCCTGCAGGGGCGGCAAGGCTTTTTTCGAGGAAGGTATTCGATTTTGTTTTAGTACGAGGCACGTACGAAAAATAGGAGAAAAAAAGAGGAAATGAGAAAAGTCCGGTTCCACAGTTTACTCCTGTGATCGGGAAGGATGGCCCCAGACCTCCCTACAAACTCGCACCCCCGACACTCTATTTTCAACCCCACCCCCCCAAAACGAAACTGACAATATAATCATTTATTTGAAAGATCTTACAGTCACTGATTAACTGAATTCAATCGCAATCGGTAGTTCACGTGTTAAAAGTACTCTAGCCTAAGTGCAGACGTGCCCTTCCCCCCCCCCCAACCGAGGAGAAACGGAAGTGACGTTATAGAACACGATTTATGTCAAGTTTTCGTAGACGTCCCTTTCCTTCCGTTTCTCCACGGAGGAGAGGGTACAGCTACGCGTAGGCTAAAAGTAATCGTGATTTCTCTCTCATGCAAGGATACTTAGAGAATACAAGACGCTTAATTGTGTTTTAATATAATTGTGCTGAAATAAACATCTCTCTGAAAAGGAAAAATAGATTTTAACCAATAAAATTCATAATTTCAAGACAACTTAAAAATAATTTCACTTAATTTGTATATATATCTATGTCTTCAAGCCTTCCTTTAGGCCAGAATTTCTGCGAGCTCCCCAAATCATGTTTCCTACCTTTCTCGTTTGCGTTGCGTGACAAATCAAAGAAAAAAAAAAGAGCTACTTCATCTAAGTCACTAAATAACATTTCCAACAATTGAATCTAATTCTCCTAATTGACATACATTCATGCATTGCTTACATTGTTAGTTAAGAGAAAGTAATTCAGTACTAGGAGAATTTCCTTTCATGATCAAGCCTTTTATTCTCCTGACCTGCATGCATATAATCTCTTTATATGAACTATTGAGAAACTGGAAGTCTATCACTGGCATTCAGTAAGGTTAAAATGTAAGGCCATAGGGGGCCCAGACAAGCGACGAGTCTGGTTGTTTGTTTGAAATATAAAGGAATGTATGGGAGAATATTGAAGAGTCTTATTATCGTAAACTTATATCATGAAATGTCAGAGTTGAAGCTCAAAATAAATGTAAACCTACCTCACTTGGTGTGTATTGTCGTTTCCGTAGCTCTAAATGGTGAATTTGAGCAATTTGGTGGGTTTTGCATCGACTGTTACTATACGTTACTATACTATACTACACTATACTATACTATACTATACCATACTATAAGAAGGTGACAGTTGACGCACAACCCACCAAATCGCTCAAATTCGCCATTTAGAGACGACAATACACAGAAAGTGAGGTAGGTTTCCATTTATTTTGAGCTTTAACTCAGACATTTCATGATATAAGTTTACGATTGTAAGACTCTTCAATATTCTCCCACACATTCCTTTATATTTTGAACAAACAACCTGACTCGTCGCTTGTCTGGGCCCCCTGTGGTAAGGCTTACTATACTATATCACAGAAGTCTATATACAATCTTGATCACAAACACTTCATCAATAACTTCATTCTTACTTCATGATCACCCCAGAGATGAAAAAGTCTAATACAATATCTCTACCCCATAGAATGAAACATAAATTTTTTCTTTACCAAGAAGGACAGTATACCTTTGCTCTGAAGTATTTAGTTATGAGAAAATGAAAAGTTTAAAAACCTTTAAAATTGTTGAATAGTAGGTTTCTTCCTCGTGATTTGGAGGACATATTCAAACTATTTTTCCAAGGTCTCCTAAAGGAAATCTCCAATTTCTTTCTTAAGCTTTCCTATTCGAAGGTGCAAACTGTTCACAGCATCCATATGTTCACCTTTTTTAAGCGCATAATCTCGTTTTGGCTGATACTTTTAAGACAATTCTTGTTTAAAGCAGTCACCAAAAATTTGATAATTAAGTTCCTACTGGGCCATATGAAAAATTAAACCACTAAGATTTCTAGAAACAAATGTTTGGAAAGTACCTTTTAGAGTTGTTGACTGGCCTAAGTCCCCTCTCTTGTCTGTTTGAGAGTTACCCCCACTCCCTACCATTTCTGAGCTCAGATGATCATTTCATATACCTCTCAGACAAATAATTAAATATTTAGCTTTTAAATGCATGACTTTTGGGCTTCTTCTTGCCAATAAAACATGGCTTTCAACTGACTACAGATGCACAGAATCCAATCTATGCAATAAGAGAGAATTATTACACGACTCAGGCAGTCAGAGGGCCAATAACTAAAATCAACCAATCAAAATGCTCTATTGCTGGTCAATATTCTCTCAGTATTGGACGGGGCACTGTCCCGAATGGTCCCGAATGATACCGCACTTGTATCCCTTTGAACTTTAGTCGTATAATAAATCTCTTATTAACCAAGCTTGCTTGGAACCGTACTGGAAGAATATCGGCCCTCCGTCTTTTTTGTGCAGACCGAGCGCAGCGAGGTCCGTACTGTCAAGACCTCAGGCCGACATTCTC